AATAGTAAAAGAGTTGATGATTGAAAAAAAAAGAAGAGAATAACAAACTAATGGAATAATATTCTTGTATATTTACTTGTTTTATTTATTGAAAAAATGTTAAGTATCAATGTCACACAAAACATAAGATGGAACTCCATTTTCGATTTCATCCATGGTGGAAAGCTAATTCATCTGTGCATGGTAGGAAGAGTGAAGCAAAGTTGGCCAAGACATCATTGTGGAGCCGGGCAGGATGCAGCTATTAAATGAACTACTAGATACCGGGTAGAAGGGGTTGATTATGGGTCCCATTGTATTTCTTGGAGAAATAAAATGCAAGTCTCTCAACAACTTATGGGCACTTGTTTGCACCCAAAACTTGGCATCAATTGGGGAGTAGCTCCCCAAATTGGTCAATTGCAATAATCCTTGGAGATATGTGGAAATGAAGCCATGTGCACTCCAATCTTAAACTATAAATGCTTACTTGATAAAAGAGTTATGACTATTTAAATTTAATTATCAGTTGACGTAGATGAGTAATTATATGCAAAAATAATTAAAAGGAATTAATTTTATATACATTTTATTTTTTACAAAAATACATTTATTATAAATTTATTGAAGAATCTTGGTTTATAAGGTTATAGTAATTTGGTAATTGCAATACTTAGGGTAGTTATATTGGCAAAACGTGATTAAGTAATTAGAGCAAAAATTAAAAGTTTTTCCTAAGGATAAAATTGAACGTTTAGAAAATGACATTAAAAAACTTATACTAACTGCGACTCCTCTAACTTTTTATATTGCATAGATAGTGGCTTTTTAACTAGAATCAAAATTATAGATGAACAATTAGAAACATGATTAGCATAGTATTACAAAAAAACCAGAATTGGGACATAATTGACGTGATATATTTTAATTTAAATTTAAAAATTAGATAAGTAATTTTATACGCAACATGGTGACTTTCAAATCGATATCAAATTTGTAGATGAGTAATTATAAATATAATTAGCGTAGTATACGAAGAAACTAGAATTGAGATTATAGATAAAATAATCATAAACATAAATCACATAATACAAAAGTTTCAGAGATCGAACGTTTGAACTATTGAAATAACTAGATAGTTACCAACTTAAGTTCTAACTCCGCAACTAGTTGTACTGGACATGACAGACTATAAATCACAAATTTGATTAGTAAAATAGTGTCAAAATTTGAGAATTTTTAAATATTAACATTATCTAATGATAAGGATAACCAATTATAGTAAAAATCAAAATTTACTCTTAAAAGTAAGTGCTAAATTAAAAGATTTTGTTGTGATATGGATTATCTAATGATAGCAAATCCATTGAAATGAGCAAGCAACGATATCTAGACAAATGTCAATTACAATCTCGTGTTCAAATTAATTTACATATCCAAACAAATGTATTTGAGGATAAAGTAAAGAGGTGAGACCCAACACATTATTTAAAACACAAACACTGTTTAGAGTAGTTACAGTAGTTATATTGGCAAAACGTGATTAAGTAGTCAGATCAAAAATTAATTTTTCTTTAAGGATAAAATAGAAATTTTGAAAAATGACATAAAAAAGTTTACACTAACTGCGATCTCTCTAACTTTATATGTTGAATAGATAGTAGTTTTTTAATTAGAATCAAAATTATAGATGATTTATTAGAAACATAATTAACACAGTACTTCAAGAAACCAGAATCGTGACATAATTGACCTAGTAGATTTTAATTTAAATTTAGAAATTAGATAAGTAATCTTATATGTAACATGGTGACTTTCAAATTAATATCGAATTTGTAGATGAGTAATCATAAACTTAATTAACATAATACTTCAAGAAACTAGAATTGAGATTGTAGATAAAATAATCATAAATTTTAGAAGAAAATACTCTCTTCTTTGAATAATAAAAAATTTAGAGTGGCAAGTATTAATCTCTTTTTCCTTGGTAATCTTATTAATATTGAAAAATATATATGAGGAGGAGGAGGAGGAGGAGAGAGAGAGAGAGAGAGAGAGAGAGAGAGAGATTTTTCAAAAAATAAAAATACGAAAGAATTAAATATTTTTATTATTTTAAAATTATTTTACTTTTGTGTTTATCACTCAATTCCAACCCTAATACTAACAACTTTAAAGTAATACAATAATGTTAGAATCTTCTTTATTTTCTTTCTTTGCAAAATCTAATTTTCTATTTTCTTCTTTCCTATCTCTTTTTCTTTTCGTACTATTAATAAGTGTGAAAAAATAAATTTGAAAAAAATCCTTTTAGTTTTATGTTTTGGGATCTTTTAAAGTGAAAAAAATGAATAATAACCATTCCAATTTTTTTTATTTTTAATTATATATAAAAAGGTAAATACATTTAAAATTTTTTTACTATACTAGGTAGATTAAAAATGAGGTAAAATGTTTAGAAAATAATATTAGGAATTAAAGCGATTGTATCACTATAATTTAAAGAAATAAAGTGACAATAACAATGTAGTAATGCTATAGAATAAAAGAGTATTTTTATTCAAAATTTATTGACATGTTGAGTTGAATTATTTATGGGGGTTAAGTGACTAAAAGATCATGTTATGGGATAACTTGATAGTAGTGATATAGTTTAGGGGGGGTAAAGTGATAATAACCCTTTTAATTGCTTGCATACGCTTATAAATATCATGTACACTAGTATTATATTAACTTAAAAAAATACTTGAACATATTGAAAGAGTGAAGAAAATTTAGAAGAAAAAGAAGTAGGAAAAAGGGCAAAAATGTAAAAGGTATACCTATATTCTTTTATTTACTACCAAACATTTCGTGGGTTCAACAAAAATTCATTTTCATTAGCTAATAATAGTGAGAGTGAATAATGAACTTTTAGTAAATAATTAGTTTCAGTAACTTGGTTCAGCAATAAAGTTGGCTATCATAAGAGAAATTGAAGGAATTTTTCACAATCATATACACAGAAATTAAATATTATTTAAATTAGAAAATGATGGCATCGGATTTATGTTTTGAGAAAAGCAATTCGGCATTGAATGTCTTTTTGTCTCTCGGTTGTTTATGTTCTCCTAATTGAGCATTTACCTAGATGATGATTAATTTATCAACCCAATCAAATGTACAGACATATATGCAATTTAGTCCTTTAGAAAGTCCTTCAAAAAAAAAGTCATTTACAAAGTCCCACATTACTCTGCTACGTAATTCACCTCTCTGTTTTGAAACTCGGATCGGACCGGCCGGTCAAACCGAGAACCGACCAGGTAATCGGTCCGAATCATATTAAAAAATAGGAAATTTAAAACCCGGTCAAAACCGGTCAAAAATCGGGTTTGATCGGTAAAAAATCGGTTTTTCCGGTTTAACAGTAATTTTTTTTTAAAAAAATTCAAACTTTTTAATATTATGTTTTGACCCCCTAAATTGTTAAAACTTATTGATATACATCAAATATTTGATACTTTATAAATATTGTCCTAAAATTTGATGTTATTTTTCAATTAAATTCATAATTTTAATTCTAAACTTGTTAATATTTATTAAATAATATAAATTGCTACTTGATTGTTCTAATTTCTTTGTATTTTCTTGTTAAATATATTTGAAACATCAAATATATATGAATATACCTTTATTAATATCAATATATTATTAGATATTATATATATAATATTTTAATTTTTAAATAATTTTTATTTATGACGTCATCCGGTTCGATCCTATCGACCCCGATCGAATCCATTGACTCACTATCCGATCCGGTTCTGAAAACATAGATTCACCTATGAAATGATTGCCTACCGGTTGCCTAAGCTTATGTGGACTCGTAAGCTTTGCACAATGGTCCCAGGCAGACTTGTTGTGATTGTAGTGGTTCTGCCCAGGGCAGGAAGAAATTCCCACTTTGCAGTTTGCACACTAGAAGCAACCCTCCATTTTCCACCTTTTTTTTTTTCTGTAAATTCAGTTTTACTTGGAATTTGTGAGTTGTGATTCTGAGTGGAGTGGTTGTCCTCGATTTTCTAAGTTTGTGAGGAGGATATTCTTTTAACTTTTCCTATATTTACAAAAGAGTTGACTATTCAAGTTAGAAACCTTTCTTTACCTCTTTTTTCTGCTCTTTCCTCAAAGTACTGAAGAACATGAATTCTTGTGGTCTACTGAGAATTAAGGTTTGCAAAGGCATCAACCTCGCTGTTCGTGACACTGTTAGCCATAGCAGTGACCCTTATGTCGTCGTCAGCCATGCTGGCCAGGCCTGTCATCTTCCCTATTACTTTTTCTACTGGCTATTCTTGTTTTTTTTGGCTCTCTAATCATATCATGTATTGCTTGTATCTTATATGATTGATATGGCCTTTTAATTTGTGGGTTTTTTCTGTGATCATTCAAATCATATTGGGTTTTTTCTTTATTTCCAAAGATTGCAATTTTGGTGGTTTATCTCGTCGAAATCGGCATCGGTTGCAAGTTGAAGTAGTAGAATTAGAAGGCCATGTTAATTAGAATTAACCAACCAGATTGATTTTCTAATTAAAATATTAGTTGAAGAAGAATAGGAAAAAGATAAAGAAATTAGGTCTAAATACGAAGACATATAGAAATTCCAAGATTCTTTTTTTTTTTAATTTTTTGAAACTGAATATAAGATTGATGCTGGAGGATACCTGCAACTGAGGAAAAGGATAAGCCAAGAATGAGAAGCATAGCTGAATAAGGGGGATTGTGAACTGAGCTAGTGGCATTTATGCCAGAAAGTTAAGTTTACCAGTTCATGGTGGAAGTGCTGTTTGGCCTATTTGTAGTTAGGCTATCATGGTTTTGTCAGCTAAATGCTCAAAAATGTTGATTGAATTTCAAGATACTGAAACTGAAAGTTCAATTTCAATGTTTCTTTTCGTTCTTGCATTATACTTTAGTTTAGCGGCTGCTTAATTTGTTTCTTTCTTATTTAATAGAGCAAACTTTTGGTTGTTCATAACATTTTCAAATATGGCATTGCAAATGCTTTGCTTTGTTATTTGATAAGCTTCCCATTTCTGGACAGCTAAAAACGTAATTGGTTGATTACAAAGGGAGAGATGCATGCTGTTGGAATATGCTTCAAGTTATATGTAAAGTTAAATTACTATGCATGGTTCAAACGTCAAAAACACCTGTTCACTTAGTTTTAGCGCTGCTAGTACCAAATTGACTTGGCAAGTGAACTCGCTGCATAGAGATGGTGTTTCAATTTTCCTTCACCGTTCACCACCAACAAAATACTGGCCAGCTATTTTAAGAATTTGTAGATGTTGGATAGTCTTAATGAACGTGCTTACAATGTGCTTATTCTGCTGAATAATTTGGTGATTGAGGAATTTGATCTGTTATCCCCCTGATGGCTGCAAGACAAGTTTAGTAGTGATTACTGAATTTTCTTCAATCATTTAGATCGTAGGATCGTGTACTGCTTCTCATGACGTAAAGTTTATTGCAGACTGTGAAGACAAGTGTGGTGAATAAAAACTGCTCCCCTGTTTGGAATGAAAGTCTGACTCTTAGTTTGAAGGATCCTAATGTCCCATTTGTTCTGGTAAGTCACATTTTTCTTTTCCTTTCTTATTGAGTGTCTGCAATGAACATCCGTGACTTGAATGGATCTAGGTCGGCAGTCTTGCCAAACTGATAGTATAAAGCAATGAGTTCAAGTTTATGTTCTCTCTGCATTGTGCTTAATCAAAAGTGTGTGTTCCTTTGTACATCTGTCTTGCCTTCTGGAGGACCAAAATATGGTGATCGTCATGTATGACTTCCACTGATTAACAATGGATTTTGTGTATTTCAGAGAGTATTTGATAAAGACACGTTTACAGGAGATGATCCAATGGGAGATGCAGAATTCAACGTGAAACCGTTTCTCGAGTGTTTGAAAATGGGTTTGCAAGACCTCCCAGATGGGACTAAAGTTGACAGAGTTCAACCGAGCCACGACAATTGCCTTGCAGATGAGAGCTGCATTGTTTGGAACCAGGGTAAAATGTTCCAAAAGATGATACTTAGGTTGAGAAACGTGGAATGTGGTGAAGTAGAAATACAACTTGAATGGCTTGATTATCCTGGATTTAGAGGCTAAAAGCAAGACTGATTCCTTCGCTGTTGTGTGCTTGTGATTCGAGGGCTGATGATGAAGGCATACAATCTAAGTTCTTGCTGTATATTTATGGCTGTTCCTCATGTAATGTTTGAGAGCTAAGGCATGACCCTCACAGGAAACTATGTCGGCCTCTTGTATGGCTATTGTTCAGGTTACTGCTTTGCTGGTGTTGCTATAACAAATATAACCTTTTCTGTTTCTTTACTTGGGAGGGGGAATGAAGGAAGCAGAAAAGGATAACGGGAATAAGAGAATATTGAATCCTTGCTTCAAGACGATCGAGATGAATAAGGCCCTTAACTATTCTAACTGAATATAACATATTTCTCAGCAAGAAATTTGAGAATTTTTTTTTTTTTTTTTTAAAATTTACAATCAAGAACTGAATTCGCCCTGGCTGATGTTATTTTCTCTTTCGACAATTAACAGCAGAAATTGATTAGATGCCATTTTTCTCTTTCAACATTTACCCCTGATTTCCTTTTTTTCTTTAGCTGTGATATTATTTGCTTGACGTTGACAAGAATTGGTTTTTTTTTTTTAATTTTATTTTGAGCTTGATCAAATTGAAGGGAAAAAAAATTAATCTGGCGTTATTCCCATGTTCTCCTCGTCAAGCAATAAGGAACTTGGCATATTCTTGAACAACCTTCACTACCTTTTTTGAGTCAATCAGTCATAAGATCTTGTATCTCTAAACTTCATTTGGATAAATTACTTCAGAAAAGCTACACAAAAACTGTTCTTGATTTAGAATATGTCAGAGACTTTTTTTCTCTCATAAATAAAATATCTCAAAGACTTGAATAATCTAATTTTCATTTAGTTACTTGAAATTCTTGGGACCAACAGATGTGTTCCCTAATTCTAGTTATATACAGATCTCATTTTCAAATTCCAGGAAATAATGCTCAGTAATCCAGTCCTCGATCCGAATTTCGAATTTGACTTGGCATTCCGGTTAATCCCTACAGAAAAGGGAACCCCCCCCAATTGGATTATTAGGTGTCGTGGAATATACGATTTTTGTGTTCGATAGAAGTATCAATCGCTGAAGAAGATATGCAAGAAAAAAATCTCAGGGCATTTGGAAGTTTGTTCTCAGATATTTCATCCTTTGCAGGAGATACATATGCAAACTGTAAGGTTATGGTTTATTCACCAATAAATCTTATCTTCCTAACTTTCAACCCTTGTCCAAATATCATCACCATTACACGCTTTGAAAATAAACTAAGGGCGCCAAGTTTGAAGCAAATAATAACAATGGCTTCTTCCACTTCAACACAATCACAATCCCTACAAGGTCTAATTTCCAAAACAAGCTTTCCATCACTTCCAATAAATAAACCAATATTGCACAATACAAATTTCAAGATTTCATTCCCATTTCCCTCTAGACAATCTTTACTACGCGTCGAATCTTCCAGCACTGTAAAGTCCAATGAAGTTGTGGTGGATGAAGAAATGGATAAAATTAGAAGACTGCAAAATGGCTCGGACGTTCGTGGGGTGGCTCTAGAAGGCGAAAAGGGGAGGACGGTCGACCTAACGCCTCCCGCCGTGGAGGCGATCGCAGAGAGTTTTGGTGAATGGGTTGTGGAGAGATTGGAGGAGGAGAAAACAAATGGAAGTGTGGAAAATGTTAGGGTGTCACTTGGACGTGACCCTAGAATTTCAGGTGCATCCTTAAGTGCTGCTGTTTTTGCTGGTCTTGCTCGTGCTGGTTGTCTGGCTTTTGATATGGGGCTTGCAACTACACCGGCTTGCTTCATGAGTACATTGTTGCCTCCATTTATGTATGATGCTTCCATCATGGTATGGAAAAACAGCTCCGTGTTTTTGAGCTTGTTATGCATACATATAAAAATTGCATAGACTGATTTCTTCAATGATTTTGCACTAAAACTATTGTTAAACATAGATATCAAGTCTTGAAGCTTTTAAGGAAAATAATAAAATTTGTAGAAAATGCCTTTTGAGACCGTGTAGGAGAAGTTTGTGAAGACAAAACTTTTTAAAGCTAACTATTGTTTCCTTTTGCTTTCTAAGTGATGCTATGGCTATGATTTCCTGAAACATGATTTCAAGAAACCAGATGGTAATCTTGCTCTTCAACTTTGGTAAAGTCGAACTTCAAAAGACACTTGATTTTCACATATACTTTTCTTTCATCTGAAATAAGTTAAAAGCAAAATTAAAATCCCGCTGGGAAACTATAGTCTTTAAAAATAGTTCAAGGCTTTAAGCAAATGAGAGAAAATGGGAAAATACTACTACTAGGCTTTGGATGTTTCTTTTAGTCTGTATTAGTATGCTAATATGTGGAAGAATTGAGAACTATAACATGATGCAGATGACAGCCTCTCATTTGCCGTACACCCGGAATGGTCTGAAATTTTTCACCAAGAATGGAGGCCTGACATCGCCGGATGTGGAGGAAATATGCTACAGAGCCGCCCGGAAATATGCTAATAGACTTGCAAAAGTGTCAACTGCTCTCCGGAATCCACCAAAACGAGTGGATTTCATGAGCACTTATGCAAAACACCTCAGAGATATCATCAAGGAAAGAGTTAATCATCCCTTGCATTATGACACTCCTCTCCAAGGATTTCAGGTTGGAAATTTTAGCACAATCTTTATTTAGTTTGTGACTGAAAAATTCTCCTGCACGAGTTGTTTTTCCCTTGTCCTCTTTCATTCATGTGCAATGGTGGTTCCACTTACCTCATCTATGTTGGAATCAATTGTTATACTAGCAAGTGAACATTGGCCATAAAAATTGCATGATTGTCTGTGTTGTTAGGGTGAATATTAACCTTTGTTTGATTTATTTATTTATCTTTCCATCCTTTTCTACACCCTTCTTATTTTTAACTGTCAGACACAAGATTTGAATCCTGAATCTGACAGTAACGAAGACTCCAAGAACTCTTTCTTGTCTCTAGACCCTAGTGGTTAGGATGAATATTGTCTCTAGACCCTAGTGGTTAGGATGAATATTAACCTAAAATACGTGATTGAAATATACGAATTTTATCTGATTAATTTTTTTAAAAGTAATTTTGCGTTCGTCTGATTTAGTAAAATGAACTACTACCTACCAATATTTTGATTAAAGAACTTACTACGATATAATAACGAAACTTTGGGCTCAGCCTAATACTTTTGTCCAAATAAAATAACTGCAACCAGAGTGTCGGCCCACGCTCTTCCGGACCCCAACAGTCAATACGCTTGCAACACAGGCTGGCCAGAAATAGCAAATGAAACGTAAGGCCCATTCTAAAACAAAATGAAAATTTGTTCTTAAAAAGAAAATGAAAGAAGGAAAGATATATGGGTACCTTCAATTTACTTACTCTATACGGTGTTTTTTTGGGTAAATTACAGAGTCTTTTTTATTTATTTTTCTTCTTATTTGGGATGCATATGGAGGAAATCTGATGAAATTAATGCAGATAATTGTGAATGCTGGAAATGGATCGGGAGGGTTCTTTACATACGATGTCTTAGACAGGCTAGGAGCAGAAACATTCGGTTCTCTACACCTCAATCCAGATGGAATGTTCCCTAACCACATTCCTAACCCTGAGGACAAAACTGCCATGGCCTTAACAAGGGCTGCAGTTCTTGAAAACAAAGCTGATCTTGGCATAGTTTTCGACACCGATGTTGATCGAAGCGGCGTCGTTGACAGCTCTGGGAACCCCATAAATGGTGACAAACTCATAGCACTGATGTCTGCCATTGTCCTGAAAGAGCATCCTGGAACTACAATTGTGACTGATGCACGAACAAGCATGGCCCTGACTAGATTCATCACTGACAGAGGAGGTCAGCATTGCCTGTATCGAGTTGGATATAGAAATGTGATTGATAAAGGAGTTCAGCTTAATAAGGATGGGATGGAGACTCATCTGATGATGGAAATTACTGGCCATGGTGCTCTCAAAGAAAACCATTTCCTTGATGATGGTTAGTGTATTTCTTCTACGGAAAATATCAAGATTGCAGACACTGTAACTTTCAAACTTAAAAGACATATATTAATAGTTTTCTAACATATCTCATGTAACTCAGTCTCTCAATCTGATTCTAACTTTATCCCTAAATTTAAAATAAACATTCTCCCGATTTCTTAAAATTACTGGGGTTTACATTGTCTTTTTGAATTTGAAAATCACAATGTCTGTAATGCAACTATTGTCCTTGTTCTATATATAAACCTGAATCTTAAATTTTGGCATGGATTCTTGATATGCACTTTACATTGAGTAAATCAAGCGATGTGGTTGAATTTTGCAGGTGCTTATATGGTTGTGAAGGTCATCATTGAGATGGTAAGAATGAAGCTTGAGGGCTCAGGTGATGGAATAGGTAGTCTTATTAAAGATCTTGAAGGGCCCCTGGAATCAGCAGAGCTTAGGATGAATGTCATTTCTGAGCCAAGGTTTGCAAAAGCCAAAGCCATTGAGGCCATTGAAACATTCAGAAACTACGTTGAGGTACATATCTATTACTTTGTGCTAAAAAAGAACAAGGAAAATAGCAAGAACCATATCTGGTCAAATCTTTAGTATACTTTATGCTAAAAGAATGGTAAATTATTTGCAGGAAGGTCAGTTGCCAGGCTGGGATTTAGACTCTTGTGGAGAGTGTTGGGTAAGTGATGGCTGCCTTGTGGACACCAACGACACTCCAGCAGCTGTTGATGCTCACATGTACAGGTGCCAAAAGTTTTCAAACTAATGCTCTGCCTCCTTTTTTTCTTTGGGGCTCCTTAATCAATCTCTCCTTTTCCTCTGACAAATTTCCGCACAAAAATTACAGCCCCTTCCCTTAAATCCGTATGATGTAAAAGAATTGGTCACCTAATTTGAAAAACATAAAACTTTTTCAATGGTCAGGTAGATCTTTAGGTTGCATCATTGTCTTTTAAATCTTAGGTTATGGATGCACCATTGCTTTTGGCGAGAATGGCTCAAGCTGCTCCTAATCTATTTATCATAAAATGTTAACACCTTGACAAACTCTACATAATTGTAGTCCCTTTATTGCTAAATACAAATTTGCTCAAACTCCAGGGCCAAAGTTTCTGACAAGGACAATGCAGAACTTGGATGGGTACATCTTAGACAGAGCATTCACAATCCAAATATAGCTGTGAATTTGCAATCCAACGTACCAGGAGGTTGCCAATTGATGTCAAGAGACCTCAGGGACAAGTAATTTCCATTACTTCATTAACACTATTGATTTCTTGGCTTCATATTAGTACTCTCGAAATTTTGATTCATTCAGCCAATTTATCTATGCTTTGATTCGGAATTTCAGGTTTCTTTTGGCAAGTGGGATGGATAGAATTCTCGATATCAGTCAGATTGACAAGTATGCCAGAAGCGGAAGCGTTTGATGATATGCAAAGCCTTGTGGAAAAATCAAGCATAGATGTATAGTAGATAGTATGCATATAGAAGCATAGATGTATAGTATATAGTATACATATAGAATATTAGACCCGTGAATTGTACCTACTTGTACAGTACGAACCCTTTTATTGTAACATTCATATACTTTTGATCACTCATTCAGTAACCATACCAATTATTGTAAACATTGACAATTTGAGATGGAAAACTCAACTTGGCCATGCCAAGGGTAATTCATGCATATTTTCCTTCTCTTTTTGTGGCTTTTGACGGTTGTGGTAGCTAAGGTTATGCTTCTTATCATAAGCCATTGGCAAATGTTGATCCATCCTTCTTGGTATCACAACGATTTGTGCATAAAAGAGACAAATGAATTTTTACACGATAGATCATAAAAATGCTAAAATGAAAATTATTTTAGACACATATGGCATGTATTCTTGACTGGTTTTACATTGAAATTCCTGATCAAGAAGCTTATGAAGCTTGAAAATGATCTTGGTTCTTGAGGAAGTAAGCATCAATTATGTTACTAACTTCACTTGCAAAGTCAAACATGTGATCAGGAGCAGGGACATCTAAATTCTGCTTCTCATACTCGTATGTCCAATTAAGAAAATTCTTTGCACCTTTTGAAGTTGCTTGGAAAGTTATTAGCAAGCTCTTATAATCCTTCAGAAGATCACCCTCAAGAATTCTGTAAGTCATTGACCTGTTATCTTCATCAACAGTTTCAATGGTCTCCTTTACCGGAATTAGTTTGCCATCTTCAATTAATACACATGATTACAACATGAACCAAATTAGGAATGAAAATCAACAAAAAAAAAAAAAAACATTGCATATTTATACAAGGTCTACGCTCTTTAATATAAGAAGTCCATGCAGGCCTTACCAATCAAGTAATTTACCAAAAGTTTGCATCCTACTTCTCCCCAGTTTCCTTCAAGTAATTCGATGCTAGGAAGTTTGTCAGGGCAGATGCTTGGCAGATATTGTTTCTTGCTGCCATAAATTTCGAAGAAAAGTATTCCAGGAGATGAGATCTCCTGCTCGAACACTAGCTTGCCCCTAAGACTCATTCTTGTCTGGACAATTTGAAGAATAAAGTTCCCTTTGATCTTTATAAACTTGTAAAATGTAGTTATTTTATTTCTGAGCAGAAAGTTTAAAATCATATTTTGGGATTGAGATCTATGATTGATTGCTTTTCCACGAGGCAGTCATGATCTGAATGGTTGATCCCTTGATTAAAAACAAAAAAACAAAAATACGCTTGATCACCTAACCTCCTAATTGGTGTTTTTTCTAGCCTCCCACTCTGATTTCCTTTTTCAAGAATAGGACATCACAACTCCTAATTGGTATATTTTACTCTCCACTCTGTTTATCTTTTTCCAAGAAAAGGACGTGCGCCAACAAAATAAGCTGATTTATCATGACAAGATTTTGTTACACAACTTTCTTTAGAACAGCAAAGCAAAGGGTATCACAGATGCTTTTGCTAGAGAAATTGTCAGCAGAGGTGGATGATTACAATCAATGCTATCACAGATGTTAGTTCCATGACTATGAAGTTTTTGTGTTAATGACAATGTACAAATTAACATCAAATTGAATATGGTTTTTGTCAGCTCATTAATATCTAGTTTTAATTTGTGTTATTCACAAAAAGAGAAAAATTATTGCATATCTCTATCTCCAAACGAAAAATTCTACAAAGTAAACCTGATAATGCAATGGACACAAACTTAAAAAGCAAGTAACATGTTTGATCTGTTTTCAACAATGGGCTAGAGGTTACAATGGAGGTTTAGCTGGTAGGCGTCCCTTTGCCATTTACTAAAACCATTGGTGGCTACTAGCTAGCCACTTTTTAAAATCTTAGGGACCTGGTGCAAAGCACATAAAATTCGATTCTTATTTGAAGGTGAAGGACCTGGTGCAAAGCACATAATTTTTGGTCTATTAAGCCTGCCTTCGTTACAATTTGATCAAACAACATAAGATGAAAGCTATAATATGGCTTTATCGACCAGATCATAATTACTAAAAACACAAAATTAACATTATGCTTTTGTTATTCATCTCCAGGATAACGTGCATCAACTGTGCTGGTAATTTCGCTAGCAAAACCCTTCAATGCATCAGGAGGTGGAACATCAGCATTCATCTTCTCATATATGTATGTCCACTTCAAGAAATTCTTTCCATGTTTTGGAAAGTGATTTTCAAGGTTTTGTACATCTTCATCAGGTCACCCTCAAATATAGCATAAGTAAATGACTGGTTCTCTTTGTCCACAGCTTCCACCGTCTCCTCTGAAATCAATTCTTTCCCTCCTGAAATAAACCCACATGAAAAAAGGGTTGAATGATTGGTATAAACCACAATCCAGCTGACTTCTGTAGGAACTTTATTTACACAAGAAAGTTGGTGCATTAACACATAATTAAAGATAGGTTTTTGGCAAGTGTTAAGAAATTGTTGCAGATTGCAATAATGAAAATCTTCAACTGATTTCTAGATTTTTGCTTCTACTGCTGTTCTAAGGCCTAACCATGAATGTGATGTGATGGTTGTAATGGCATCTAGTATTTGTATTAATTACCATAATAATCTAATACCATTTCCGGGGAGAAAAGAAAAATGATGGAAATTTGCTTGTCTGTGAGAATAATGATCTTACCAATTGAGTAATGGACAAGAAGAATACAGCCCACGTTTCCCCAATCGCCTTCCACTGATTCAGTGAGAGGAATCTTGTCTGGGCAGAGTTTTAGCAAGTTCTTAGGTGGAAGTTTAAATAGGGTTAACTTGGATACAGTGGATTTCACACCAAAAAAAAAAAGAATTCATGAATGCCTAAGAACTATTGTGCCTAAGAAAGGTTTGTCCAAGTAAACTGCGCAGTCAACCCTCCAACAATTACTGCTCAAATTGTTGTCGCAAAATTTCTTTTCTAATTCAAATATACTCATCCAGTATAATCTCAAATAAATAAATAAATAAAGAAGAGAGAAAGATTCCTTCTTGTCCATCCATTTTAACTCGAAGAACTCTTCCATCAAGACCATTAACAGTTCGAATCTATTTGCCGATGAAGGTTTAGTGTAGTGAGTAACCTTGAGATCTTAAAATTTACCTCAGGAGATGAGTCCTCAAGTTGACCTCAGGAGTTACCACCGTGGCTTTTGAGGTTAATTTGAGATTAGGTTTAACTACTGATTCTTAAAAATTTCTGACAAAAAAGAGTAACATTGAGATCTTAAGTTTTAGAGATTTTAGGTTCCAATCAAACTGCTCCCTTCATGCTTCTTAAATCTTACAATACTCCTATTAAAAAAATTATAAAATAAAAGTTCGATTCTGTTGATGATATGGGCCACCCAAGGACCCAAGCTAAATTTAATTATGGGCTTAGTTTCCCTGTGAATTGTTTGGAATATGAAAGATAACTGGAGCACGTTTGAACCCGGCCAAATTAGACATTTATAGTGTCCGGATTGCTGGACAAAATGGGAATACGCATTTCTTAATGGGCCTCTTCTACATTCTTGCCCAAGAAGATAAGCCAAAGATATGGATAAAAGAAAAGGAATATTGAAAATGAAGATTTACCAATTTAGTTTTTTTTTTTCGTTTTTATTCTTTTAGTTTGTTGAATAGAAAGGCATATAGCTTGAGTAATGAAGTAAATAAAGTATAAAATCTTTATACTTTTGTTTTTTACAGTTAAATAGATCAATTTTACCCGAAATAACAAAAGGGAACTAGCTAACATATCCAATAGATGGCCAAATTATAATTTGGTCATTTAAGCCTACCTTCCTTACCCTTTGATCAAACAAACATACATTGAAATCTAGGATATGGCTATACCCTGATTTATGATGATAATTAGAGTTGAATCCATCTAAACTTAGAAATTTCTAAGAGCCACAAGCTCGCATTATCATTAGATAATTAATTGAGTAATTAAGTTATCAAGCTCGAACCACATGGCTTCTTTTTTTTTTTTTTTTTTTTTTTAAATTCAGTTCTAGACAATGTGCATCAATTAAGCTGGTAATTTCACTAGCAAAGCCTTTCAATGCATCAGGAGCAGGAACATCAGTATCCCTCTTCTCATATAAGCACGTCCACTTCAAGAAACTCTTTTCATCATTTGAAGTAACTTGGAGGGTGATTTTCAAGGTGATGTACATTTTCATAAGATTCTCCTCGCATAAATCGTAAGTGATCCACTGGTTCTTCTTGTCTACAGCTTCCACAGTTTGCATTGAAGTCAAAACTTTCCCTCCTGCAATATATATATATATATCACATGAAAAATGGTTCATTCATTAAGTGGTATAAACGTCAAGCCCTCTGACTCAACCATATATTTGTAGAATTCTGTTTACACAACAAAATTTGGAGAATTAGCACAAAGTTCATATGGTTTTTGGCAAGTGTTGAGTAATTGTTGCAATAACAAAAACCATTCAAACTAATTTCTATATTTTTGCTTCTAGTGTTTCTTTTAGGGCCTAGCTGTGTTAAATGGCATCTAGTATTTCTTTTGATTACCATAAAAACTTAATGGAATTACCGGGTAGAAGAGCAAAATCACAAAAAAAAAAATGCTTATCTGTAAGAAGAATATTCTTACCAATGGAGAAATGGACAAGAAGAATACAGCCCACATTTCCCCAATATCCTGCAAGTAATTCAACGAGACGAATCCTATCCGGGCAGAGTTTAGGTAATTTATGTATCTTGCTGCCCAAAATTTCGAAGAAAACATTTCCAGGAGATTTGATTTCCTGGACAAATTCTAGCTTACCGCTAAGGCAACACATTATTTTTAGTGCCACAATTTTCCAGTATACACTTTGCACTTGATGAAGTTTGGATAAGTCCTCGTATACATACTAGGTCGAAAGTAAACTCAAATCCTTTTACAGAAGTACGTTACAACATAAATTTTAGTTTTAGCGTTTGTTTGCTAAATCAATCGTAGTATTCTCGTGAGCTCATGCAATGCCAAGACAAAGAAACGGTAAAATGGGATTTGCGTTACTTACTCGAAATGAATTTTTTTTTAAAGAAAAATACAAAGAAATTAATGTTAAAAGATTTACTCCTTTTCATATATTTTTATCAAAAAGTACATAGGGAAAGGGATGGGTTGAGTGATTCGGGAAAAAGAATGTAAGTGAGAGGTTTTGGTTTTAAGCTTTCCACTCACGCCGTTAAAACATATAAATTCAAAGTGTATGTAATTAGACTAATTTTGGGAATTATTTATTCTAACACGGTCGACATTATTGATGAAATATGGCATCGGCAGAACCTAAAACTTTGAAATTCATCTGTTCCAGAATTTCAAATGGTAACATTTTTCCTTAAAATTTTGGAATATTTATTTTAGGGAGGTAACAGCATCCGGTGGAATTGAAATATGAATTTGTCTAACGGGTGTGCAATTTGCCCTCGTTGAAATATCAGCTTGGCTAACCGGTGTTCAAATGGCCCTCGCTAAGTGGGACATTAGGCATTAATTTTGAAAAAATGTAATTAATTTGAAAAAGTTTATAAATTCAGGGGATATAATAATGGTGATTGTGTGAATTTATATGGTAAGTTAGATGTAATTTAGGTACGTTAACAAGTATCCACCTGGATGGGAACCTTTACAAAAAATCCAAGGCATTATTGTTGTTTTGAGAGAATGGGAGGGAAAGGAAAGCAAACGGAAATGGAGGGATAAAGTTTTTAAATTTTGGATTAGTTTTTGAGGAGAGAAAGAAAAGGATTTGAAGGGAAAGGGAGGGACAATAATAGTTTTTTTTTTCCAGCCTGCTTCACATCCAAAAGTGGACAAAAATAGAGGAAAATGACATCAAAATTAGTGAAAATTTACTTGTTTATAAATTAAACTTTAAACTATGGATAAAAATGTAATTGACGATCGATAGTGTCCTTTCCTTTCCTCCCATAATCCAAACAATAGATGGACTCAGATTTCTTCTACTCCCCTTTCTTTTCTTTTCTTTTCTTTTCCTCTAGAGCCTTCTCCTTTCCTTTTCTTCCCTTT